CCCGATGCGTGCTGCGTCCCTTCATGGCGCACTGTGCTCGGTGCTGGAGTGTAGACGCACACTTCTCTCTCTGATGGGGCTGCTCGAGAGCACACTTATCACATTTAGAAAACAGTGTTCTTCTTTTTGTTTGTTTGTTTGAGAGGTTTTTGCTATAGGGCATGTGCATGCACCAGAAAGAGAGAGACAGAAAGCGAGAAATCACCCCCCCCAGGGGGTTGGCCACGCTGCAATCCCTTCTCCATTCTCCTCTCGGGATCTTGGTCACACACGCACACCCTCCTGGCGTGAGTTTAAGCTGCCAGGTCCAGGACTCAAACCACAGTCAACTACATGGGAGTTCAGCAACATAGCCATTAGGCTAACTGCTGGTCCCACCAATGTTCTTTCTTTTATGAGTGAGAGAGACAGAGACAGACAGACACACAGAGAGACAGGTACCCCCAGCAGGATTTTTCGCATCATGGTTCACCCCAGCTTCAATGAGACCCAGAACATGGGCTCATGCATGCCCAGAGCATTCAGGAAGGTCTCTGGATGTGAACCCAGAACCTTCCCACATGGGTCAGCTTTGCAGACCGTCACTTCACTGCTGCACCACTGTCTTGCCCCTATAACATGTTTCATTCAGTGGTTAGATCCAGAGTTCTGCCTGCCCCAGAGATGGTTATTCATCACTTCATTCTCAGTCTGGGCAGCAGCTGTGGCTCCTGAGAGCCTCAGGGCTGTTGTGAGTAAGGGTGGTGAATGCTGGACCCGAGAGGGCTCTGCCCCTTACCCATGGGTGGTGCTTGTCCCTACTCGCCGGCCAGTCTGAAGCCTCAACTCGCTCATCAGTCTCTGGAGGCTGGAAATTGGTTTGGGCAATTCTGGACTCTCAGCAGAGCGCTAAACGGAAGCCAGGTAGGGTGAGCCCCGAGTGCTTGTGCCCTGTGCCACAATCCTGATTCGGATTGAACTCGAATGGACGCCCCATTTCCGCAGCTTTGAGACTGCCCGGCAAAGCTGTGAGCAAGCAAAGGCGTCTGTCCTGCCTCTCTCTACACAGGCCATCGAGCTAGTCCCAATGATGGGACCGAGGTCATCCACACAGATAGCAGAAATAGAGTTGGAACCAGGTGACCTGCTCCCAGACCCTTCCTGTGGCTGCAGGGGTGCCTTTGTGCTCCAGGGAGCGTGCACGCAGAGAGCATTCTGAGCGCCTCTGACCTCTCAAGAAACATGGAGATGAGACCGATAATGTTATGTGAAGACAGGGTGCCCTAGTCTAAGAGTGACCGCCTCATTCCTTGGGGTGCGGGCGGAGGGCGGGGGCAGAAAACATTGGAAACGCGTAAAAATGGAAGTAGCCCTCCCCGCCTTCCTGGAACTCCAAGCTAGGGCAGCTCTGAGTAACTCTGGGAGGAGTTTATTAGTGGAGTTTCACAGCCGAAATCTTGCTCCGATGCGGAATGGGAGTGAACCGAGGCTCGGTGGGAGAGACCGACCCAGAGTTGATGAGAGACAGCTGGCTTCTGCAGGGCCCAGGCCGTTGGGGGGGCCCTTGGGAACCAGCCGGGGGCAGGGAGCGGCGGCTGGAAGCAGGCTGCAGGCTGGTCAGGTTTTCCATCAAGATGACATCACTTGACATGGCATGGACACGGGCTGCCAGAGGAAAAGCCTGCTGTGGGGCAGGTCCTAATCAGAACCAGCAGCCTCCCAGGACAGGGTGGGCCGCTGGCTCGCAGGAGGGGCAGCAGCTCACCCGCCCACCACACCACCCCCTGCGGCTGGGGCTGCTGAGCTGAGGGAGTTGACGGCAACTCCGTGGATACCGCCTCTGCTTCTTCAGGACTCCCCTGACCCCACCCTGGGGCTTCCCGGAGCCCTGCAGTTCTCTTGGCCACTCTGCAGCCTGTGGAAGGCAGCCACAGTTCTCTCGGCTGGGGGGAAGGCTCACGGGACCCCAGAAGAGATGCTGCTCAGAAGCTACCGCTTCCACGTTGGTTTACGCAGCTGAGAACTTCGGGCTCGTCCAACAACAGTGCCTGGCTCTGGGCTGGGTCTTGCTAAACAGAACTTGGGAATTTGCCTCACTTAAATTTAACCTTTGGGGCTGGCAGATGATGGGAAGGTTAGGGCAGATGAATCCCATGTGGCTCACTGCAGAGTTCAAATCCTGGACCTGGCAATTAGAAAAACACACTAGGCACGTATGCCCAAAATCCTGAGAAGAGAATGGGAGAGAAGGAATTATGTGACTGTCCTCCCTGGGGGACACTTTCTCTCTCTCTCTCTCTCTCGTGAGTGCACATACCTTTCGCAAACTAAAAAAACAAGCAAACTTAACCTTTTTTCTTTTTTAAAGATTTATCTAATTTGATTTATTCATTCATTTATTTAAATTTGACCAGACAGAGAGAAAGTGAGAAAGCAAGAAAGCAAACTGCCAGGTCCTGGACTTGAACCGTGGTCGGCCGTATGGGAGTGTGCAGCACCTTAGCCACCACACTGCCTGCTGGTCCCCACAAACTTAACCTTTCTCAACTGTTGGGTTGTTATTCAGGGAAGCTGACAGCCACGAGGCCCTTGTCATTCAGGCAGGCTTTTGCATCTCGAATCTTCCTTCCTTCTAGAAGAGAGAGCTCGATATAGAACTGACTCCTTTTGGGATCATTTTAAGTGTCAAAATAATTTGAAATCAAGGGGAAGTGCTAAGTAAGTAGGCAGCCCTAAATAATGGAATGTTTCCAGAGTGATTGGGCTTGGTGAATTGGGTAGTTCAGCCTGCCTGACTGTATACTGTCACGATTTAGAAAAACCAGAGAGGTGACTGTGGGCGTGCACGCGCCCTTCCTGGAGCGGAGCAGTGATGATCTCATCCTTGGCTCTGTTTCTGTGACCTGTGGGCTATTTCTCCCCTCTCTTGAGTTGCAGGGAGATCTCGGTCCATCTATATTTTCAGGTCCAATGATTCTGCAGCAAGATAGGACTTTGGAGGATAAAGTTGGTGTCTGTATTCAGCACTGTGCTTGGCATGCATTGAGAGCTGAACTCATTCTCTTTGCCCAACTTTCTGCGTGTGCTCCCTAAAACAACCTGCGTCGAGAGTTGAAATGCACATCATTGATTCAGGGGTGATCCTGGGGAGCAGCAGTAGGGAACAGGACAGTGAAGCCGGAAGAGAAGGCAGCTGCAGTGTCAAAGAACAGACTAGAGAGAGGGCCAGGAGGAGATGGGTTCATCGAGATACTGACAGTGGTGGGTTGGTTTGGAGGACTTAGCTCAGGTAATCATGGGGGCTGGCAAGTCCAAGTTCTGCAGGACTGGCTGGCTGGTGACCCAGCGAGGAGTCGATGCTGTAGCTCAGGTCTGAAGGCAGTCTAGCAGCAATGTTTCTTGTCTCTAAGAGAACTGTAGTCGTTTTCAGTTGAGGCTGGCAATTGATTTGATGAGGCCCCCTACACTATGGAGGGTAATGACATTTTCTCTTTCTTTTTTTGGGTGATTTTTGCTACAGGGCGCGTGTGCTCACCAGAGAAAGAGATGGAGAGACAGAAAGTGAGAAATTACCCTCCAGGGGGGATGGCCACACCGCAGTCCCTTCTCCTCCATTCTCCTCTTGGGATCTTGGGCACGCATGCACACGCGCCCAACGTGAGTTTAAGCCACTGGATCCGGGACTTGAACCACGGTCGACTACATGGGAGTCCAGCAACATAACCATCACGCCAACTGCTGGTCCCAGTAATGCCATTTTCTAAGCACATCAGATGAGTGCTTGACCAAATACCTAGTACTGTGATATGACCCAGTCAGGTTGACACATAACTATCGCAGCCAAAGAAGAGGTATGCTACTGAGTGGGCGACCACTGTGGGCAGCCGGAGTTCAATCCTGGGAGTCGATGTTCAACGTACCTGAGAGTTACAAAATTGAAAAGGCGAGGGAGCCGAGGTTCTGGCCTACTGTGCATTGGGCTGAGCCACTAGAGAGAGCTCAGGAAGAGAGCTGCAGGTACTGGCAACTGCAGGTTGGACTGGACAGCAGAGAAATGGTGAAAGCCAACAGGATATGGGTGGGGGCCCAGTACCATCCGCTCTGCCTTCCTGTGTTCGTTTCCACGAGGCTTTCGGAGCTCAGCTGGCTCACCTCTGGCAAGGCCGCTCAGTCCTGCTGTACTCTCCAGGATCACCCCTCCTGAGGGAAGGCAGCCATAGTCCTCTCGCCTGGGAGGAAGGTGTGCAGGGACCCCGGAAGGGATGCTGCTCGGAATGCTCCCTCCACGTTGGTTTACCAAGGACTTCCGGCTTGTCCAACCGGAATGCCCATCGCTAGGCAGGATCTTGCTAAATGGAATTTGGAAGTTGACTTCCCTTAAATTCAACCTTTTGGGGGCAACAAGTGCGTTGGAGGTTAGGGTGGTTGGATCCCACATGACCCTACTGCAAGGTTCGAATCCCAGACCTGGCAGTTTGAAAAACACGCTGGAGGTTATATGCGTGCGTGCTCAAAATCCTGAGAGGAGAATGGAGGAGAAGAGATTGTGGCATGATTGGCCCCCTGGGGAGTGATTTCTCTTTTTTTTTTTCTCTCTTTATCGCTCGCTCTCTCTCTCTGGTGAGCGCGTGCACCCTATAGCAAACTAAAACAAAAAGCAAAAAAGCGTTTTTAACCGTTGGGCTGTTACAGAAGTTGTGATCAGTGGAAAATAGATTGAGTTCAGTTCTAGATCATTTATGCAGATAAGGCTTTTTGTGCATTGAAAAAAATGTGAAGTTTTGGTCAAGTAATATTCAAAAAAAAAAAAAATGCACCAAGAACCTGAGTGGCAGAAACAGTACAGCACAGGAGAGAGTTCTGGAGTTGGCCCTGTGGTGGAGAGCTCTCTGGTCCCAGCCAAGTCCTATTCTTTCTTGGGATCTTAGCTCCTCATCTCAAAAATGAGGTTGAGGACCAGCAGATGGCATAATGGTTACATCGCTGGATTCTCATGTAGTTTACAGTGGTTTGAGTCCCAGACCCGGCCGCCTAAACTTACACTGGGCACATGGGCGTGCGTGCCCAAGGTCTCAAGAGGAGAATGGAGGAGAAGGGATTGTGGTATGGCCATCCCCACTGGGGGGTGATTTCTCAGTTTCTGTCTCTTCATCTCTGTCTTTCCAGCAAGCACATGCCCTGTAGCAAAAATCTCTCTTAAAAAAAAAAAAAAGAATGTTTAATTAGTCTCTAGGGTCACCCCAGAGCTTTTGCAGTGTGCGTCTACCCTGTTTTCTGCTGTTGTCCCTGTTAGAGTGGCATTTGTCCAGGCTCCAGTGCTTTCTGTGCCAAATAGCCCCATGTCCTAATAATAACGTCTCCTGGGACCGTCAGGTCTCAGGTCCCTCCTGGTGACCCAGCCTTGCCTCGGAATCAGCTGTTGCTGGAGTTAGCACGTTGGGGCAGGTAGGCCCTTGCTGACCAGGGGTCTGCCAACTCGGCATGGCGAGACCCCAGAGATGGCAGAGGCCCAGGGAAGCCATTAGAAGCTTCAAGATATGCCCTGTGGCAGCTGCAGAATGCCTGTCCAGGTCACTGTCCTTTCTCTTTGCTCAGATCTCCCACGGGGCTGCTCCCTTTGGTGTATAGAAGCCAAGTCCTCCCAGCTCCTCAGCTTGGCATACCCAAGTGACACGGGCAGCTTTTTATCGATACAGGTGCCCGGGCCTCAAAGACGGATGTTCGAGATACAGCCCAGGCTAGATCATCTGATTTCCCATTGCTCAGCTGCTTTTCTGATCATTTTGAACAGAATTTCCTGTTCTTTTAGGGCTTTTTTTTTTTTTTTTAAACTACCATAGACTCCATGCAGTTGTAAGAGAGACAGAAAGGAAAAAAAGTATCACCTCCGTGAATTTCACTCTGAAATCCCGTCTCCTCCATTTCTTGATCCTTCCAGGACTTTGAGCATGCATGCACCTGTGCCCAGCATGTTTCTCAACCGTCTGGGCCAGGATTTGAACAGCACTTGGTCATGTTGGAGCCAGCTCCCTTCACCACCAGGCCACGGGGCTGGCCCTCCTGGACTTCCATTTCTTTTTCTTTTTTTTTTTTTAAAGAATTATTTATTTAAATTTCTTTATTTTAATTTGACCAAAGAGAATCAGAGAGACAGAGGGAAAGTGAGAAAGCAAGCTGCCAGGTCTGGGACTTGAACTGTAGTCAGCCACGTGGGAATCTAGTGCCTTTAACCACCACACCACCTGCTGGCCCCTGGACTTTTTTTAAAATTCATAGTCCCCTGAATCCATGAAACAGTTAAATAACAATGATAAAGGAGGAGCTGACCTCTGGCAGAGAAAATGGGTAGAAAGGTCGCTGGCCACTGAAGCCTGTTTCCCTTAAATAGCGCCTTGCTACAGATTGACTTACGGACTCAAAAAATGGGGCAGAACCTTTCAGGTTTATTCAACGTGGGGCCTATATTGTGACCACCTCTTTTTTTTTTTTTTTTTTTTGAGAGATTTTCACTGTAGGGCGCGTGCGCTCGCCAGACAGAGAGAGAGAGACAGAGACAGAAAGCGAGAAATCACCCCCCAGGGGGGATGGTCACGCCGCAATCCCTTCTCCTCCATTCTCCTCTCGGGATCTTGGGCACGCACGCACACGTGCCCGGCGTGAGTTTTAAGCCACCGAGTCCGGGACACGAACCACGGTCGACTACGTGGGAGTCCAGCGACATAGCCATTACGCTAACTGCTGGTTCCCACCACCTCATTTTTTTTTAAGTCTCAGATTGTATCATGGTAGTTCTGCCATCTGTAGTTACACACTCAGCTACAAGGGGTGTGGACATTTTTTTTTTGGGGGGGGGAAAGATTTTTGCTATAGGACTCATGCGCTCGCCAGAAAGACAGAGACAGAGAGACAGAAAGGGAGAAATCACCCCCCAGGGGGGATGGCCACGCCGCAATCCCTTCTCCTCCAGGGATCTTGGGCACGCACACACACGCCAGGCATGAGTTTAAGCTACCGTCAGGGACTCGAACCGCAGTTGACTACATGGGAGTTCAGTGACATAGCCATTATGCTAACTGCTGGTCCCCAAGGGGTGGGTTTTTTCAGGCCTCAGGGCAGGCCCCACTGCGGTCCCAGTTCTGTTGGAAGGATGGGCGCTACCGAATGATGGGTCAGCACGCTTGGCTGCCTGGCCGTGAAGTCAGTGCCCGCCTTTGTCTGAGTTTTGGATGTGTAAGCTCCTCGAAGGCGGCGGGTGTTTTCGCCCAAGCTGTCCTCGATGTAGCCTCTGGGCCAACGACTGTGCCTGGCATGCACTTGGTACACCGAGACCAAGAATGGCACGTGGCCTGATAGACATGGTGCTTGTAGGGCACGATAGCATTTGTGAGACGACTTTGAATTATTGGAAGCGGGGCCAGCCCTGCGGCGTGGTGGTTAAGGGAGCCAGATCTCACATGACCGACGGCAGTTTGAACCTGGCCCTAGCAGCTTGAAAAAGACCAGCCAGGTGTGTGTGCGCCCCAAAGCCCGACAAGGTGGAGAGATGGAGACAGTATTGTGATGGGGGTCACACCTCACTAGGGGGTGCTTTCTCTTTCTGTCTCTGGTGAGCACATGCACCCTCTGGCAATGGAAAATGTATCAGTGGAAGTGATTCTTTGGTGCCCTGGGCTTCCTTTCCGTTGCTTTCTAGGAGGTGATTTTGCACAAACCTTTGATAAATCTAGCATCTACTGGTAACATGCTGCCGGCTTGCCAGGACGTTCCCTTGTCGGGACACTAACCGTGTCGGGCACAACGAGTTGTCAATGTGCGTATTGGCGCCTCTGTGGGTGTCCCGTGGTGACGAGGTTTACAGCAGGGAGAGCGATGAAGCACATTGACGGAGCCCCGTTGGAAGGCAGAGGGCGTCCTGGTGCGCTCCGTTCCGTGTGCACAGACGGCACGCCTCGTTCTGAGCGTCTTGGCGTGTGGCTGCACAGTGCTGTGCGTGGGAGGGCCAGGCGTCACGTGAAATGCATGCGTGACCCCCAGGGGGCCTTGTCACTGTGTGCCTGTCTTTGCTGACGCTGTTTTGACTCATTTACCCGCAGGCCTGAATTACGTTTTGACGGCTGACGTGGCCAAGAAGGAGAAGGGCGAGCTGCCCCGGGTCTACCTGGTGCTGCTGGGAGAGACTGCAGGCCAGGTCGCAGAGAAGCTGCAGCTGGTCTACATGGAAGAGACGTGTCATCACTATGTGGCCCACGTGAAGGTCAGTCCCCTTCTCGTATCCTCAAACTTTGATCTGTACGGGTGACCACTTGGGGCTAAGGGAAACTATTGCTGTGTATTATGTATGAGCCAACGTCTAAAGTGTTGTTTTCCAAGGAGAATATGCGTTTGTTCAGCTTCTTTTAAAGAAGTGCTGGAGTCTGACCGCACTTGTATTTATCTTATGGTGCTGGTCTCAGCCTGCAAGAGGGGTTATGATGGGCTAAGAGACCTGCCATGGTCCCTGACTTTGGTATTTTCCCTTGGGGCATTTTCCATCTCCATGAGGCTCTGCAGTCCTATCAGAGAAGAGTCCCAGAAGCACCTGCTTTGGGTTTGTAGTGCTGCTGGATCTCACCACACCTGATGCCTTCTCAGTGGTTGGCTGCCTGGCAGTCCCCTCATAAAGCATTTTCTTTTTTTTTGGAGAGATTTTTCGCTACAGGGCATGTGCGCTCGCCAGACAGACAGAGAGAAACAGAGAGACAGAAAGCGAGAAATCACCCCCCAGGGGGGGATGGTCACGCCGCAAGTCCTTCTCCTCCATTCTCCTCTCAGGATCTTGGGCACGCACGCACACGCGCCCGGCGTGAGTTCTAAGCCACCAGGTCCGGGACGCGAACCACGGTCGACTACGTGGGAGTCCAGCGACATAGCCATTACGCTAATTGCTGATCCCCCCCTCGTAAAGCATTTTAAAACTGATGGGTCTAGATAGTTTTCCCTCGATTGCTTTCTGTTTATTTTAGGAGTACATTTCTTGGCCCCTTTACCCTCTTACTCTAAGTAAACTTTTAAATGTTTTTCTCCTCTTGAAATTGTTTGTTAAATACACTTTGTTGCTACTACAGAAGGCTAGAATTTGGTTAGCTCCAGAGTGGCCCCTGCAACGCAGGCACACGCGCCCGGCGTGAGTTCTAAGCCACCAGGTCCGGGACGCGAACCACGGTCGACTACGTGGGAGTCCAGCGACATAGCCATTACGCTAACTGCTGATCCCCCCCTCGTAAAGCATTTTAAAACTGATGGGTCTAGATAGTTTTCCCTCGATTGCTTTCTGTTTATTTTAGGAGTACATTTCTTGGCCCCTTTACCCTCTTACTCTAAGTAAACTTTTAAATGTTTTTCTCCTCTTGAAATTGTTTGTTAAATACACTTTGTTGCTACTACAGAAGGCTAGAATTTGGTTAGCTCCAGAGTGGCCCCTGCACAGGCTGGTGAAGGCAGGCTGGAAATCCTGGCAGTGCCCAGGTCTGTGGGAATGGCCAGCCACTGACGAGGGGCAGGGCCAGAGAGGAGGCAGAAGGATCTGCAGGGTCGAGCCACATGGTGAGGGGAATGAATATGGATACATACACACAGACCCAGTGTGTATCCAGCAGAGTGAGAAGTGTGATCTCTCTGTGTCTCAGTCTCTACATCTCTAAAGTAGACGCAGCCATGCTTACCTTGAAAGGTGGCTTTATGAATTGAACTTTAGGGGCCAGCAGTTGGTGTAATGGCTATGTGGCTGGACTCCCATGTAGTTGACTGCGGTTGGAGTCCTGGACATGGTGGCTTAAACTCATGCCAGGTGCATGTGCATACGTGCCCAAGAGCCCAAGAGGAGAATGGAGGAGAAGGGATTGCGGCATGGCCATCTCTCCTGGGGGGTGATTTCTCGCTTTCTGTCTATCTGTCTCTGTCTTTCTGGTGAGCGCACGCACCCTGTAGCAAAAAAGCAAAAAACAACAAACCCCAAAGAATTGAACTTTGCATGATGCACATCCCCAAGGGACTTTGCATGACGTTGGAAACAACAGGCTCTCCACAGAATCATGATTTGTTTGGGCCATAAGTTCTTCCTGGTATCCTAGCAGTTTTGACGTACAAAAACGGCAGTTTCACATCGTTCACTCTCATGTTATTAACCAGTGGATTTCTAACTGATAGTAAAAATAGTCTACATATTGGAGATGAAGCGTTTGTCTATAATTGTGATGTTCGTGCCCAGGCAGGAGAATAGCAGCTATTTCTAGATGCTTCAGGGCTGCCTCGAGAGAGTGCTCCACACCACCATGCCACTCGATTTGGCCTGAAGCCTGTGAGTCTATGACCCACGGTGCTTTTTAGTGAGGCCAGTCAGGATACATGCCGGGGCCTGCCCAGACCGACTGCCCAGGGCTCTGGATGCGGGCCATTTATAAATCTGTTCCTGATCCCGTTAAGCCTATCAGCCCGGTCCCTTCGAGGTCTTAGGTTACAATGGCTTGCGGATGTCCCTGGGGAGTGCGAGGTTGCTCAGGACAGCTCGTGGGCACACATGGCCGGGCTTTGAGTGCCTGTGCGTGGTGTGGTCACACTTGCTGGGGACCTGGCATCTTCTCGCGGCTGTTCTCATGTAAGGCCTATTCTACACGTGCTTTCCTTCGGGGTTCTGTGACGTTTTGCTTTGGCTGAGGAGTCGGCCTTTGTTCATAACTACCGGGGGTCCCTTCTGTGGTATAGGGTCTCCCGGAGCCAGCAGCCTTTGTGAAATGCACTAGCAAGGGACAGGCCAGAGGCAGGGCCAGTTCTGCAGTGGCCTTCGCAGGTCACTGGGGAAGAGCAGAGCTGCCAAAGGGACTTGGTCCCTCTACTTCCTGTTTTCTGGGGTTGCCAGGGTTAGCAAAGTATGAGACTCACCATTAAATCTGAATTTCAGATGAACAGTGAATCATTATTTTTAGTGTAAGCATGGGATATAGTTAACCTAACAACAGTGCCATTGATCTGAAATCCAAATTCAGTCTGCTGGCACATTTAACTGCACGGATCTTCCTCCACCCCACCACCCCACCGCCCCACAAACTACACCTCTCCGCGTAGTCCAAGCCTGGCCCACAAGAAGAGAGGTGGAGATGGTGGTCAGAAGAGCTGGGCGGCCCAGGCCAGGGCTCCCGAGTGCAGAGCGAGCATAGACCTTCGTGTGATTATTTGGGTCGTTTTCGGAGGTCTGCTCTAGGACCTAGAGCAATTTGTGCATATTAGGCTGTTGGAAAAGTCTTGATGTATTTTGCTATGTGAAAATGCATTATTGGGACCAGCAGAAGGTGCAGTGGTTATGTCGCTGGACTCCCACGTGGCCGACCACGGTTCAAGTCCTGGACCTGGCAGCTTGAAACTCATGCTTGGGGGCATGTGTGTGTGTGCCCGAAATCCCAAGAGGAGAATGGAGGAGAAGGGACTGCTGCATGGCTATCCCCCTGGGGGGTGATTTCTCTCTTTATGTCTCTCTGTCTCTCTCTGGTGAGCACACAAGCCCTATGGCAAAAATCTCTCCAAATAAACAAACTAAAGAAGGTGTCATGACTTTTCCAACAACCAGTAGTAACTGTTGGCCATTTTCTCATGCGAGGAGATAGGGATGGGATATTCCAGAAGACCCATAACCCTGGGGCCTCTGCAGTTTAAGAGGCGACATCGCTGTTAAGGAACTCTCAAGGTGGCTGATACTTCCCGGCCACAAGGACGGCGTTTTCCTACCAGTTCTCATTTGGGCCATGGCAGAGGACCCGGGTGAGTGGTAGTGCGCTCCCGAGCCAGCTAGGCATCACGGAGTGGCACAGCTGGCAGGAGGGAGCAGCCCCGGCCTGTGGTTGATGAGCTTGTGGGAAAACAGCTGTGGAGGCCGTGGCTCACGTGGGGACGGCAGGGATGGGGCAGGCGGCAGGGATGGGGCAGGGGAGGGGCGGCCAGCTGCCCCCTGGAGCGAGGACTGTGGGCTAGAGAGCTGGACTGGCCAGTACCGTGCGTGTGGAACTCTAGCAGAGGGACTGGCTGTGGCTTAGGGACAAGTCAGAGAAGATAAATAAAAACGTCCTGGCTTATCGCACACCATATGGCTAGCAGACAGCAAGGCAGGCACGGGGAGCTGGGGTGTTTTGTTTAGGCTATCTTTAGATAGTTTTTTCTTTCCTTCTTTAAGTCTAGTCCAATCTTTTTTTTTTTTTTCTTCCTTTCCTCCTTTCCCCTAGAAGTTTTTATTCCATATATGGTGATAATTATAAGATCTCCATCGCTGAAAACCGCTTGGGCTAACACCTGCCTCCCAGGCTTACTGGCTGTAGGATGCTTTGTTCTATGAGAGGCCCGGGTGGGGGCCTCCAGGAGGGATAGGATTCTGGGATAAGCCACATCCCTCGGGGGGAAGGGGGGCAGATTCATTCTCGAGGCCTCACTGTGGTCAGCAGAGCAGAGGAAGCCCCAGCTGCTTGCTGCCTTCACCTCTGCCTGAGAGTTCACACACTCAGCCTCTCTCTCCTGCCCCAATCCAACTCAGTCTGGGGATGGGCCCCCTTCTAGCCAAGTCCTCTAGGGGTTCCCATAATCACAGGTGAAAGCCTGGGATCAGCAGTTGGTGTAATGGCTATGTCGCTGGACTCCCATGTAGTCAACTGTGGTTCAAGTCCCAGACCCAGTGGTTTAAACTCACGCCGGGCATGTGTACATGCGTGCCCAAGATTCCGAGAGGAGAATGGAGGAGAAGGGATTGCGATGTGGCCATCCCCTCTGGGGGGTGATTTCTTGCTTTCTGTCTCTCTGTCATTCGGGCAAGTGCATGCACCCTGTAGCAAAACCTCTCCAAAAAGAGCGAGAGAGAGAGAGAGAGAGAAAGCAAGCTTAGACCTCTGCTTTTGGCTGCAAGACTCCCCGTGTCTTGGCCTCAGTTTACCTTTCTAGCCTAGTCTTCCAGCACCACCTCCGCATGTCCTGGTGGTGACATAAACTGTTCTTTTCCCTGCGACCTGCCTCTCTAGCTTCCCACCTTCTGTCCTGTGCTCACCTCAGTGTCTCCAGCACTTCCGCCATCAGACGCCTGGTTCCTGTCACGGTCATGCAGGACCACGGACCAGTGCCTGAGTTTCATATTTTTTGTCTTAAGCATGTACCTCCTGCAGTATTTTATTGCATGTTTTTGCTTTAAATCAGCTGAGTTTTAGCCTCAAAATAATTTAAAACAGAAACGTTGTACCTGTCTGG